TTTTGTTGCAGGTAATGAGTATTATTAGTGTACCACTTCATTTTATGCATTGTTAAAATGTAACCTGGAAGGATGGCTGTTTTTGTACAGAATGCAGTGGATAAAATAATGTTAAATTACTGGTTTTAAGGCCTACCTTTGGCAAGGTACTCAAGCATATACCATACTTGAAACACACAAACAATTCTTTGGTTTCGGTGGAATTAGTCTCATTAGAGATGCACTGATACATTGGTCCGTATCATATCAGCACCAATAAAAGGGAAATTGACATTTTCGGCAATCGGCTTTTTTTGGCTGATGTGGCCGATAATGTTGCTGATAAATGCTGCGTGCATGCACGCAGCCGCGGCATGCATACGGCCAGCCTGGCAGTTTAGAGAGCAGCATCTGGCTGGTAAGTCTGTTGGGAGGGAAGGGGCGTGGGGAGGGGGGCTGATTGAAGCCCCTGCAGTGTGGGAGGGAGTGGGGCTGGGGCAGGCACTGCCCAGCCAGGGTGGAGCAGGGAATGGGAATGGGACAGAGCCACAAAGGCTGGAGCCAGGGGCGGTGCTGAGCTCTTTCCAGCAAGGAGCTGGGCCAGGGCTGCACTCAGGGTTGGCGGCAGTACTGCAAGGGCGGGCTACGGAAAATTCTAGGGTGGCCACAGCCCACCCTGTAGCCCGCCCTGCCCCAGCACTGCTGCCGCCTGCCCTGAGCACTGCCCCAGCCCATCTCCCTACCAGGAAGAGCCTGTCCCCAGCCCACAGTGGCAGCCCACTCTCATTCCGTGCACAGATATGCAGGGCACGCACCCCACAGCTCCCCCGGGGTGCGCATAGCAGCAGGAGCCACTCTTCCCTCCCCGTACCCCCTGGATGAGCCATGCGGCTCCATCCCACGCCCTACCCTGCCCTAGCTGGGCAGCACCTACTTCTGTCCCAGTCCCAGCCCTCCCTTCTCCCTCGCTGTGGGGCCCTCAATCTGCCCTCCCTTGCCCCTTCCCTCCGCCTGCCTCTTCTCCCCCACAACAGACTTACCAATTGGACAGTACTCTCCAAGCTGCCGGCCTGCATATCAGCAATCGGATTGGTATCAGCCAATGTGGCTTGTTAATAATCAGCCTTCAGTATCGGCCCAAAAAATCTTTATTGGTGCACCCCAAATTCTCATTCTTAATAAGCCATGGTTTTAAGTATGTTTTCTAACCTGGACTTAAAATGGCTGCCTATCTGTTTTGTTTTCACAGTGAGTTTTTTCCCAATTTAGTCATAGAAAACCTATTTTTAAATATCAGCTACTGTAAACCAGTGTTATAAATTCCTGGTTTCTTAGGGCCATGAATATTCAATGCTTATACTTGTAATGACAACACTTAAACAAGTTAATATTTCTCAAATTAATTATGATTTGAAGTTTTTCAGTTTCTTTCTAACCACATTGTGTCATTTAGGTTGCCATGGAACATTAAAGTTGCCATGGGAATACATTGGAATTAGTATGTTTAGTGCATGTCATTTGCTTTTCGGATGGGTGTCTGTTCAGTGTTCAAGTCAAGGATGTAAAGAAAATATTTACTAGTTAAAAATAAACTACCTTCCACTGGGCGTGTCTACACGTGTATTTATGTGTGCATAAACTTAATGCACCTTTGCTTTAGGTGTGTGCCTACCTATTGTCGTGCTAATGTATATTAAGGCGCATTAACTTTTTATTCGTGATTACTAAGTTGCATTAGCCCACATGCAGATGCATTAATGTGCATTAAGTGACTTAATCGTGCCTAAATTTGATACTTGCTTTATGCATGTATCAAATTTAGGTAAGATTAGTCTAAAATTGCCATTCTTTAAGGAGCATTAAGGGCACGCATGTGTAGACGTGCACTCTTAATGCACCTTAAAAATGGCAATTTTAGGCTAATCCTGCTTAAACGGGGTATGTGTAGACATACCCACTGAGACTTTAGTTTGAGCGTGTGGTTTTGTAGCAAAACCCCCAGTTTTTCTTTTTTTAATATGTATACATATATATGATAGTTATGCATTCCCTTCCGTTCCCCAATTATTTCTGGCTTTTCTTTCTCTCCTTCTCTATTCTCTATAGACAAGCATATGCGAGGTCAGACTTAGGATAAGCTTTAACATTTTTATTTTGGTAACAAGTTTTTGGTTTTGCATATCCACTGTTTTATATTGTATTATTATTAGGTTTGTATTGATTCTTACTGCTGTATATTGTATTATTATCATTTTCGTATTGATTTTTATTATTCCATATGGATATTGTATGGTTTAGGCCTGTGTGTTTGTAAGTGAACCAAAGTCATGTCAAGTTTCCATTTTATGTGTCAAGCCTCCATCTTGTGTCCTCTGCCTGGGCATTCTGTGTTGCAACTGCATGATTCATTGTACCCTTTCCATGTAAATTGGTTCCCGGATGAATGAGTGATTGGGAATGATTGAAATACAATGGTAGCAGGCCTCTATTGAATGGCCTGTAATGACTAGGCCATCATCTTGCATTGATTCATCCAGGAACCACAGACCTCACCCAGGAACAGAGACAAGAGCCCAGCATTTGAAAGACAAAAGACCCTGCAGAACCAGCAACTCAACAATTGTACCCCACCATTACAGACACCTGAAACTGCACATCCCTGCATGGAGCACACATGCTCAGTACTACAGGGGCTGACCCCTGCCTGGGCATGCCTCCTGTCACTAGGGTCACACAAGGTCTGCCCCTATAAAAAGGGGCAGTGAAGACAGACCCAGTGGGCTGCCCTCTCCATCTGGACCAGCACCATGCCACACCACCTATCCACCCAGAGGCCCTGCTGGCGACCCCCCTCTGGACAACACCTACTGGACAAGGACCCCTTTCCAGCCTGGATAGGTAGCTGTCACCCTACCCCCCTTTCAGCCAAGGACTTGAACTCTGCTTCTCTTCCCTACCTGGACTCCAGCCCTTCCACTGAGTCTCTTTCTCCTGCTGCCATTGTGAGTGCTTGTGTATGTGTGTGTTTGTGTGAACCAATAACTTCATGGGGCTGTGTAGTGTGTTGTCTCTTTACTAAAACTGTTATTGGGGCCCCTAAGTTGGGTTTTGCTTTACTATGGTTTGGCCCTGCTCCATTCTCTGTTCCTCACCCCTCTAACTTCTGTCTTATATCTCCCTCTCCTGCTCACTGCCACCTCCAACACCTGTCCTGAGCTCCTCTCTGCCTCCAAACACCCTGTTTCTTTGCCACTGTCTTATCCCCACTGCCTTTTCGTTTTCCCTTGAGCAACCAGGTTTCTGCCTCAGTTTCTTTCCCGGCTGTCTCCTCCTTGCCACCACTTATCTGCGCGCCCCCCCCCCCAATCTCAGCTGTCTGCCTGAGTTTCCAGCCCCAGTCTATCTTAAGTAAACCGAAGCCTCAGTTCCTCAGCCAGCTTCTCTGAAGTTCACCGGTTCTAATCCTGGTTCTGGCAACTTTCACTCCCTAAACTTTAACGCTCTCTCTCTCTCTCACACCTGAAACTTCCCCCAGGTATCCCAGGTACCCCAAGCGCACATACACACACTGTACCATCCAAGTTAGGAACTTACCTATGTGTATGTGTAGGTGGGTTGTGTGTGTGTGAACTGGTAAGAGAGAGAGAGAGTGAGTGTGTGTGTGTGTACACATGTCATTGTGTGCATGATATACGAATTAGTGATCTGTGTCTAACTTTTGGCGTGTATAGTGTATGTGCTTGAATTGGTGATAGGTATGCATGTGCCTAGGCTGGTTTGGATGTGTATGTGCCAGAACTGGTAGTGTGTGTGTGTATGCACCTAATTGATTTGTGTGTTTGTATATGTGCAATTGTGTCACACCCTCCTGTCTAACAGCGCAATACTGAGATCCTGACCCCACAGGGCAACAGTTTTACCATGGATGTTAAATCTGTGCTACATTCAGGCCTAATTAAGTTTACATTGTCACATTTTACAATGCTAAAACACAAGTCAGTTGTCTTTCTTTTTGGTGCAAAGTCCAGATGAATGTGAAAAGTAATTGGTGTGGTGCATCTTGCTAAGAAGGAATATTATATTTAATTGAACAAAAAGTTAAATGCATAAGTTTTCAGGCCACAATGGTTCTTATTTCAGCTTCGACCTTTTGGCACCAAAGCTCTTTCATATGTTTACTTCTATGTTCAGATTAAAGAATCACCTTGACTTTCTTAAACACCTGTACAGCATCAAACACCCTCTGTTTATCATTGGAAACTTAAAATATTATAGATTAAGCAAACTTTTTAATGCTTTTTTCCTAATAAAGAAAGTAAAAAGCAGTGATTCTTCATTTGAAAGTGTTCAACAAAATCCCCAAGCTCTATGTATATGTAAACCTCAAAGTATGTAAAATAATCATTCATGAGAGATGATTAAGGAAAGGCCCACTAGAAATTTTTATTTATCTAGCCCATAGTTCTCAGAGGAGACCAGGTCAGATCAGTCAGATAGGAGGTGTCTTGGTGCTTAGGGCTTCTTATCAATACCTAGCTCTTATGTGGTAAGTGTATTTTACTTTGGGAAAGGTAAATGTTTTTTGTACACTGAAAAGCTTGTTTTAGCAACTTTTTAAGTAACTTCTTGCATCTTGAGTTGAAGGTAGCTTTTCTGATGGGTCTTCCCCATTTCCTTCTCTTGTGGAACTCTCCTTTCTTATTATTCTTTCTACTCCTTATTCAATCTGGTGGTACTTAATTACTGTATTTTGACATGAGATCAGTTCTTGTATTTCTGAAATGACTCTTGCCCGGGTGACTCCTTCTTTGCTTGTTACTCCCCTAAACAGCACATTAATTGGTAAATGTAGAAACAGTTTTAGAATATTTTGCTCTGGTTAAAGGATCAGGAGCCTTACTTAAGCTCCTCCAATGTCTATTGCTAGGAACTTTGCTCAGAATCTATTTAAGGCAGAATTAATTTTCCTTGGTGGTTTTCTTTCCTCCCTCCTTTCCCCATTCTCTCCTTCCCTCCCCCAGAATTGGTAAAGGCTTTCAAGGAGTCATGAAAAGATGGGGATTTAAAGGCCAGCCTGCCACCCATGGCCAAACTAAAACACACAGAAGACCTGGGGCAACAGGAACTTGTGTAAGTATTTTATTTTCATTTTGGGGTATTCTTCTTTCTTTGCCGTGCTTTAGAAAGAGATAACTGTTTATTAAAAATGAGCCATTTCACAGTTTCTGCACATAATAGGAACAGTTCAGGGGATGGAGGGGAAGAGGCCAGGTATTTGTTCCAATGTCATATCTCTGACAGCACCATCATCTGATTTGGAGGAAGGTTCAAAAAAGCACACAAGGAACAAAATGGAATAACATAAATAGGAAAAGTTTCATTTTTCTAACCACCGGTATTTAGTAGGTCTCATATCTTGATAATATAGATAACAACTAAACAAATACTTGCCACTAGTCATAATGTGCTTACAGTATGGCTGGGAGAAATAATGTGCCCTGTCAGTGGTGTGTTAAGAGGGATATGTTAAGAGGAAATTCCATTATTATTGCCTTTATAGTTTGGAAAGGTTTTGACTTCTGCTTTGTCTTCCAAAAATCTTACTGCTAGTTTGAAGATGTGGATAATTTACAAGGCAGTTTCATGTGCTTCTTGACCTTAACTAGCTTGTATAAAGCTTATTTAACAGATTTTTCAAGCTATAGTTTCCAATGTGGAACTGTGTGTGTGGTGGCTTCTTTATAAATGTCTTGATTTTTTTTAATTTTTTTACAAGAGCCCATTGTCTAAAGGGCTGGACTTTTGAAGCTATTTCCTGTCATTAAAATTTCTGTGAAGATTTTAAGTTTATGTAAGAAAGACATGTTTGACCATTGGAATTTATGCAAGCTAGGCTTACTGATTAGCTGAGACAGCCACACAATAGCACTATGCCCTGATTATGCTTTTAATTGTCCTGGAATTATTTTTTTAAAAATCAGAAGAATTAAGGATACTTGAGAGAACAACGGGGGGCAAAATGGCAGCATGCTGCTATGATAGCCTGCTTGAGACTTTAAGAACATTTTGAACTGATTTTTATTCTCTTGCTTCAAATGCAAAAACTGCCTGTAACATGCTGTTTCTGCCGCTGTTCTTTGTGATGCTGGAGTTTTGGGGGTTCTTCCCCCCACCCTTTTGGCCTTATACTGCTTTGTTTCATACTTAGGGTTTTTAACAACTCTTGTGTGTTTTGTATTTTGAATTTGATCTTGGTTTGGGTCACTATTTGCACCATAAAACAATTGGAACAAAGATAGGAAACCAGGAATTAAAAGAAAGTGAAAAGATGACTACAGTCAAGTGTTACATATGACATTGGATTGGCAGATGTGAGCCAGTGTGTTCAGGTTGTTTTAGGGGTTTTTTTTCCCCACTCTGTGGGTTTCCTTTCAAATATGCTGCATTGCTGATTATGGAAGCAGCGTCTTGTAATCCTTATTGCAGCTGGCTGTTTTGGTTTTTGACGCAAGAAACCAACAAATACATGGGGGATAGAGAAGGAAATGACAGACAAGAACCTAAACGGTGATTCGGAAGTGAAAATTGCCCTTTTTAGTCTTATTAGTTTTCTCTGCACATTAACAGCCTCTCTTAGATATTCAAGTAACGGTATGATAAGATCTGATGCATAATCCACACAGTTGCACCTCCTGTCATGCTACACGTGCATGGCAGAAGGCGTGACTGTGGGATCCAGCATTAAATCCTGTCATGCCATACAGTTGTTGCAGGGGGAGCTTGGGATCACAGTGTTTCCACTGTGAACCTTGCAGCTGATGTGGGGGGGAGAGGGGCGGGCAATATTCCCCATGCTGCCCCTGGTGCCAGCCCTGCAGCATTTCCCACACAGTTCCTGCTGTGGACCCCAGAGCTGATTGAGGCTTGGAGGGGGAGAGGGAGAGGGAGAGGGTTTCCCGTGCTGCCTCTGTGAGCTCTGCAGTTGATGAGACTCTCAGTGGGAGCAGCTCTTGAATTAATTGCATCTATGAACCACTATGAACCCCATCAGCTGTGGGACTTGCAGCAGTGAGAGATGGTGCAGGGGGAGCCTGGGTTCATGATACCAGGCTCCCTCTGCACTGGCTATATGGCATTATAGGATCTGATGTTCGATCCCACAGTCATGCCTCCTGCCATGCATGTGTGGCTCATGCATCAGATCTTATCGTGCCTTTACCTGAACATCCAAGAGGGGCTCTTAATGTGCAGAGGAAACTAATAAGATAAAAAGGAGTAGCTGATGCAGCACCTGGCCACACATTCAATTAATGGCATGGTAAGAACAAGCCACAAAGTTATTTGACATTTTTTGTGGAATAACTTTGTGGTTTATTGCTTGTTTTATCACACCATTAATTGATTGCACGCGTTGCTGGGTCACAGCTTAAGACATGATTCACTGGTTAATAATGCTTTTAAGTGCAACATGTAGATGGGGCCTAAGATGCCAAAGGCAAGATAGCTGAGCAGATGTGCCAATAAAGGGGATTGGAGTGGTATGGTTTGATCTGGTGGTGGTGGTTGTTGTTTTGGATTCTTCATTTTGAAAATATGCCTTGAAGAAAATGGGTGAGATTCTATGTAGTGCCCTAAGAGACTATGAAAAAAATTCACAGACCAGGAGGGGTAGTTTAATGTGACTTTAAGCCACATTTTGCATTTTCTACTCTCAGGAGCTTTGTAAGGACCCAGGGATAATTTATCAAAGTTAGAGCAGTGTCCATGGACTGTTGTATAAGTGGTAGCACTACAGCCCTATCCCCAGTGTGCTTCCAACTCCCAGAGTTCACAAAAAGGCCACTGACACACTGCCTAAAGACCGTGCTGTGCCTATGCAGAGGGGAATTCTCCGGTGGCTGAAACTAGGGCCATTAGACCTGTTTTATGCCTCTACTTGGTATAAAGTTGTAAAAGCAGGATGCTAGAAAGCGGTGCGTCTTCCCCCCCTCAAATCTGTAAACCTCTTGTATTGGGCAGGGCTGGAACACCTCCATTTGGGTGTCTTTGCCAGTGCATTGGTATGTCCCAGGAAATCTTAGCTTACTGTGACATACTAAATCCAAACTGTTTCAGATATTTTATGAATTAATCCTTGTGCATCGGTAGGGAATATTTAAAAATGTAAAGTAAGTGATTGTGAACACCGTAAACCCCATTTTAAGACGGCCCGTGGTGTCATTTTATCCAGTATCTGAAGAGTAAGTCAGTGAGTTACCTGTCCTCCTTTGGGGGTTTTTACTCTCCCTGTATCAGTACATTTATTCCCTCTCCTTCCTTTCGCTTTGCAGTGATACTTTTGACAGTGCACTTTTTACTCTTCTTTTGATATAGAAGGTTAGCAGAGTTTTTCCTGGAAAGAAAATGCCTGGGAAAATGGGTAACATCTACAGGACAGCTTTGGGATTAAAGGTAAATTCAAATTATAGCAGAACACATCTGGATAAAGTTGACTGTATTTTAGTCAGCTAATCAGGTTTTTCAGTTGCTTTATCCCCCAGCGCAGTGTGGCTTTAACTTGGTTCTGACTGGCACTACAACTTCTTATGCAAGCAAGGTAAAAGGACCCGTACAACTTGTGTCCTTCCTCATTTCTGTCCTGCAGTGAATAAAGAAGGAACAGTGCATAAGAGCTCATGGCAATAGGTGATGCTCTACCCACATGTAGAATTCCTCACTGTTTTCCTGCTTGACATCTCTCTTTGAGGTGACAAGTTGGGAAGACTGGCTTTTTTGGGGACCATCAACTAAAATTCTTGTTTTTATTCCAGCTTGCGTTCAAATCCAGCACAAGTCAGTAGTGCCTGAAGTTCTTGTCATCTGAGGCCCGTGCAGGTCCCAATACAAAATGTGATTATGCTCTTGGAGCCTTAACAGCACCTTTACTCTGATACAAGCAAGATATGGCTGGATGCTATAGAGCAGGGGTCAGCAGTGTTTTTGGGCAGTGTACCAAAAACACCTTTAACCTTGACTTGTAAGATGTTGGTGTGCCAGGGCTGGACAGTGGGGGAGCTGGGAGAGGCCCAATCCTTGTTGTGGTAGTGCAGCCCCGGCCCTGGCCCTGGCCCCTCCCCTGCCATCTGCCCCAAGGCACCGAATGCCAAGCAAAATGCCTTTGTGTGCCACACTGGCACCTGTGCTGGGGGTAGCCTACTCCTGCTGTACACCACTACAATAGTGTAATTTTTTTTATATTGGGTATATAACTACCCTGGGAGAGAGTAAGGATAGTGTGTACCTGGGGTGGTCTATGAACTCAAAGAAATAAATGGGAAGAGGCCATATCCTGTAAGCCCAAGCCTGCCATGTCCCCAGGCTTACCATGTTGTGCAGAGGGATCAAAGGTACTGGAGTCCCTAGGAGGGGCCCAGTCACATGACTTTTTTTTTTTTTTCTACAGCTATTGCTGTTAGGAGAAGAGAGAACGTGAGGTTCATTTCATAGATTTCATAGACATTTGGGCTGGAAGGGACCCCGGAGGACCATCGAGTCCAGCCCCCTGCCCCAGGGGCAGGAAGTTAGCAGGGATCATAGGATCCCAGCAAGATAAGCATCCAAATGTGTCTTGAAGGTGTTCAAAGTGGGTGCTTGAACCGCCTCCGGCGGCAATCTATTCCAAACCTTGGGGGCTTGGACAGTAAAGAAGTTCTTCTTTCTGTCCAGCCTGAATTGGTCATAGCGGAGTTTGTGACTGTTCGATCTTGTCATCCCTTGGGGTGCTCTGATAAACGGACATTCCCCCAGATCCTTATGAGCACCCCTGATAAACTTATAGGTGGCCACCAGATCGCCCCCGAGCCTCCGCTTGTTCCAGGCTGCAGAGCCCCATGGCTTTCAGCCTTTCATCATAAGGTCTGTTATCCTGACCTCTGATCATGCATGTGGCTCTCCTTTGCACTCTCTGAAGCTTCTCCACATCCTTTTTGAATTGTAGAGCCCAAAACTGGACACAGTACTCCAGCTGCAGCCTCACCAAGGCTGAGTACAGTGAGAGAACGACGTTCTGGGATTTGCTTGAGAAGCATCTATGGATGCAAGCTAGCGTTTTGCACGCTTTACTAGCCACAGCATCACATTGTAGGCTCATGTTCATCTTGTGGTCAATCATGACCCCCAAGTCCCTTTCATCTGTAGTGCTACCCAGCATAGCACTGCCGAGCCTATAAGCATGCTGCAGGTTTTTCTTCCCAAGGCGGAGAACCTTGCATTTTTCAGTGTTGAACACCATCAGGTTCTCGTCCACTCACTTCATGAGCCTGTCAAGGTCTGCCTGGATCACTCTCCTGTCCTCAGGTGTGGATGCTTTACCCCAGAGTTTGGTGTCATCAGCGAACTTGGCCAGTCCACTTCTGACACCAATGTCTATATCATTGATGAAGATGTTAAACAGTATAGGCCCTAGGACAGAGCCTTGAGGGACCCCAATGGGTCACTGCGCACCAAGATGATTGGTTTCTGTCAACCACCACCCTCTGGGTCCTACTGCGGAGCTAATTTCCCAGCCAGTGCGTCGTGGTGAGGTTGAGGCCACAGTTAGCCAGTTTTGCCAAGAGGTGGTCATGGGATACCAGATCGAAGGCTTTTTTAAAGTCAAGATATATGACATCAATCACTTCTCCCTTGTCCAGGTGATAGGTCACCTGGTCATAAAGGGAAATGAAATTGGTCAATCAAGACCTACCCACAACAGACCCGTGCTGGGTATTTGGTGCCACTTGATGGAGAGCTTAGCTGTTATGGGCCTAATCCAAGTTCTTTCAAGTTGATAGAGAAACTGCTATTAAATGTCTGCTCGAAGTGGCATTTTGGGTCATGTTTAGGACAAACATATGCAGAAGGCTTATGTGCTAGCATGGTGTAAAATCTAGCCACATATCATTGTCTTTGATTTGTTAATCAGTATTAACCTCTATTTTTATAAACGTAAAAGTAACAGTAAAATGCTTGGGTGCTTATTTTTCTTCCTTATTTTTGTAAACCCTCAGGTGTGGAGGATCAATACAAAACACAACGTCATTTTTGTAAATGGTTCTGTCCCAGGTCACCGAAATTGCTTGGTAAAGGTAGGTTTGTTTCTCAAGTTGTTTCATTATGCTGTTTATCTAGTGTCTGCTGTCTTTTCAGAACATTAACACTCATCTGTAATCCACACTTTCAGCCTACTATTCGCTATTTTACTGATTATGTTGTTATAAGTAGCTTTGGTTCGGACCACTTCTTCCTGATGTTTTTAACCTAAGTCACTGGCCTTTCTGGCTAGCTTTGCAGAGTACTAGTTTAAGGGCTCTTCTGGTCATCAGTAACCTGAAATGCAAGTGGGTGCTAAATTTAAGAGCAATCTGGTGTGTTTCTAGTCTCCTACCTATCCATGGTAGCAGCTGGACAAAATAGTGGGACAGCATCTCATTCTGTTGCACAGAGGGATCAAAAGGACTGGAGTCCTGTGCAGTGTATATTGTATTTTGTCTTTCTGAAGAATAATGAAAGTGAAACTGGGAGCAGCTGGAGTTCGTGGGCTATAGAAATAGAACAACCTTCTTCGTGGTCAGGATGACTGTATTTTTGCTGTTTATTACAGTGTTTAAGGAACTAAGTAATCACAAACTTTCATGAAGTTTTTTCAGAGCTATCTGTCAAAACTCAAAGCACCAATAAAAATTTGAATACATGCACCTAAAGTATAAATAAATTCTGTAATCTACAATAATGAAATTAGACTGAGCCACTTGATTTTAGGGGTTGTTTCAAAATAGATTGTCCTTGTTCCATTTATGGATTTTGTAAGTGCCATATTTATTCAAATCTAAGATAAGATTTTTTTCAACACCAAACAATATGGGGGGTAGGGGGAAGAACCTCAACCCAGATTTGAATATCACCCCAGGACAGGTGGCAGCTTGGCTCTAGCTTCAGCCCCAGGTTTGGGCTGAAGCCAGAGCTGAGCTGCTGCCTGTCCTGTGCCAAGATGGCTCATTTGGCAGGTGAGGGGCCTCACAGCTGGGGGCATGCAGGGGAGACCCACGTGTGCAACTCCAGGACTGTGGGGGAGCACAGGGGATGCTATGAAGCCACCCTTCCTCCCCTCCCCTCCCCTCCCCTCCCCCCAGCTACCCTTAACTTTTATTCTAGGTCCAGTCCCATCAGCCTGCCTGGGAGATGATGCTGCCTCTGGGCTACTGGGCCAGGGTTGTTGCTGCTGCTGACTGCTCCTGAGCTGGAGCAGAGCTGCAGTGGAAGATAAAGGGGCAGGGGCAAGCATAGGCAAGGTAGGAGGCTGGAAGCAGGTCTGGCCCTTTGCCCTCCACTGCTGCAGGGAGGGGTAGAATTTTCCAGTTAAAATACCCTTCCACTAATTAGATTCTATACATGGAAAAGTATTACACATTTATAATGTTGCATGTATAGAATCTAATTAGGGGCAAGTCTTGCATTTAAAATCATCTTGGATTTGGGTAAATGCAATAAGCACTTAATTTCCACCAAGTCAGTTCCTTCGTGGGTTGATAGTAAGTTACAAGATATCAAAGTGTTTCTGTGGTCATGGATCCTATAGATAGCAACAGCAATCAAATGCATCACATAAGCATTACATACATAGATACCTTCTTTCTCGACATGTATTAGGAGTATGAATAATCCTTTGTAGCCTGCACTGGTTATGACCACCTATCCCTGTCTCTGGGATGGATTACCCAATTAGCTCCTCAGTTTTTCAGAGAGAAAAGAAAGGAAGTTAAAGTGTATCCAAAAGAAACTTTTCTGAATACATGTAACTTGTCTCTAAAAGTACTGGACATTATATCGTTTATATCAGTAGTCAGGGCAAATTTAGGGTGATTCTGCTTTGTATCTGCACATCTGAAACAGCGAATGTTCCTTTCTCCACTACATTCTAGGTCTATTAATGGCAACTGAACAGAATTGGTCGGAGATGTGTCCTTTGGCATCTCTAAGCCAATAAATGGTGGGTGCCAGGGAGGGTATTGAATATGGGAGAGATCAGTCTAGACCAGGGGTTGTCAACTGGGGGTATGCATACTCCCAGCTGTACTTGTGAAGACCCTAGGGGGTATGTGCGGGTAGGCAGGGACGGAGTGCTGCCACCCACTACCCTGTGCCATTGCCTTCCAGGAGTAGGGCGGGGCGTTGGGGAGAGGGCAGTGGCACCCCTTTGTGGGCTGCACAGGTGCCGGCCGGCCATAGAGGGTGGGGAGGGTGGAAAGCTAGCATGCGGTGACTGCCACTGTTGCCACCCCACACTGCTGCCGCTCCGTGTCTGGCCACGTTCCACCACCCCCCGGTTCCATGTCTGGCCGTGCGCACCCCCCTCCCTCCCTCCCTCCCCTCCGTGTCCGGCCGCCAGGGGTTCACTTATTTAAAAAGGTTGAAAACCCCTGCTCTAGACTCCCTGTCCAGTTCAGTTCTCTTGCTGTATAGCATCCGCTCATGCCACTGTCAGAGACAGGACACTGGTCTAGATGGAACCATTGGTCTGACTTAGTATGACACTTCTTAGGTTCTTATGTTCTGAAGGTCTTGTCCACTCTAAGCCAAAAATCTAAACTGCTGTAGTGATGCTTAATAATATGTCTGGCAAAAGCAAAGTCACTTTGTCATAGATCATTATTTTTTATTCTTTGATTTGTGCAGCCATGCTTGTAACTGGTTGACTCACCTTTTTATGCGGATTCTTTATGCTTCTATTTAATGATACCACTAAGTAAGAATTATAAGCTGTTGCTTTTTGATCAAAATACATTTTTGCCAAAGATTTTGCATTTAACTGTCAGCCCTACAGTTAAAATTAGTTTGATTAGGTGGTCTGGTCTCCGTGGGATCTGAGCACCTTTTGTTTCTCTAGCACTTGCTTAGCAGTCTTTTTACATACGCTGTTGAGACATGGAATATTGTATTTAATTTTCTGCCAAGTAGACCCTACAGATTCTTTTTGAGTTGTTTGAGTTTGATTTTTTTTTAAATCAGCTGCGATTTGATGGTACATTTAAAAAACGAAAACTTGTTTTTGGTTCTGTAACATTTAACATTTGTTTCATATTTTATTTACTCTATTGTATAGGTGGTCCAATAGAAGATATCACAAGATATCAACATTTCCTCAACCATTACATCTGTAACTGTGTTCTAACCCTACTACAACACAGATTGATTTGTAAATTCTTAGAAAAATCATTCACCATTCAGAGAGAGATGCTACATGTTTGGGAAAGTTGTACTGTCTTTTTCACAAGGCAAAATGGAACTTATTCCTAACTATCAAGTTGCAACCAATGTCTTTATTGTAAGATGAGGAATTTTAAATTCTATGCCCATCAGGCCTGGAATTGCCAATGTAGCCTAGCTTTGGATCATTGTATTGCCACAAACATTTTTTTTTAATGAATGCCATACAATATTCTTAATAACCAGAAATAATGTAAAATCTTAGTGAACACCTCCCAAATTCTTACTGAGTTATGGAATAAAATTGGGAGCTGGTTAAGTCAATTGCCATTTTGCCATCATTTTAGTGAGACAAAGACATGACTATATTCTTGTTAGACCTAAAAAAAATTCAAATTCACTGCATTTAAGTTATTATCCATTTGGTTTTATGTAAATAATTTTCTTTTGTGTGTGATATTGTAAGATTAGGTGTTTACATAGAAGTTCTTAAGTTTGTTCATGTTGATAAGGTAGTATGACAGTTTTCCTGAATAAATAAGTCATGTTCTATCTTGGCTTCAAAAAAATCCTGTTTTGCTATCACAGACGCAGCCCTGTAGCCCTGTTGAGCTGCAAATGGGAGCTGTGGCAGTCAAATTGGAAATGGGTGTCAGTGTCTTATGCTGATAGATTTCTGAAATTGGATTGTATTTGTTTATACTCACTTATACTGACGGTATCTGAATAATGTATATGCACAGTTTATTGAGTATACAAGGTCGATTAACTTTGCTTTACAGACTGAATGACAAAATAGTGACCAAAACCAATTTCAGTTTTGTGATATAGTGTTTGATCTGCTCTTTAATAAAAAAAGATATGCAAACAACATAATGTAGTAGTCAAACAAAGCAAGATATGCATTATGACACAGTATGCCACTTGTAAACTAAGTTATGTCATCCAACTCTTATTTGGATGGTGAAAGTCAACAGAACTTTAGCAGTTGATTATGTTACTGTTGTGGAACAGGACTAAAAATTGCACAGTGATAATGATAGACTACTTGAAATATTAGAACTTAATGAAACCATGTAGGTGGAGTATCGTGTTGTATCCTGTCCCTAGGAGGCCCAATAAAATTCAGTCTTGGAGAACAGTACTTTTCCAAAGAGAGATGTTGTTTAAGAGAGAGGTGTTTAAATTGAGGTAAAATTAACAACTCTGTCCGCTATAGCAAGTTAGTTGTAAAATATAAGAATCCAATATAACTGCACCTTTGAAAAATACGGAGGTGTCAAGCACTTGGATTTTTAGATACATTACACTGAGAACAGCTGAATCAAAAGATTGGATAGTAGAATATATTTAGTAGTAAATGTATTTATGTACTGTATTTACTCACATGTTACACATGCATCCCAAAAATTAGCCCTCCCCATTTGGCTTTTGGGGGTGCATGCTTTAAGGCCATTTTTGTGCTGGGATGGAGGTACGGGGTACTAGTTTCATTGCTAAAAGCTGCTGCCATTTTGTTGGTGGCTACAGGGTTAAAGCTTTACCCCCAGGGAGAAAGTGAGTGATGCTGAAGAGGAGACTCCATTCCT